GCCTCACTAACACCTCTTCCAGCAGCAACCTAGTTTTCCCAGGAGGTCTCCCATCCAGGTACTGACCAGGCTCAACCCTGCTTAGCTTCAGTGGGCAACCAGTCTTGAGCTACAGGGCGATATGGCAGTGGCTAATCTGACTAAAACTAATCTGTTTTGCTGGTCTTCGTAGGTCTGTCAGAATGGTATGTTGGCTAGATTTAGAAGGGTTCTTGGGCAATTTTTTTCAGTTATTCAGGCTGAAAGACTGACCAGATTTCTGAAATGGAAACCTGGGACATTTTGAAGTTCCACTGTAAAAATACCATTGAAATCTCACTTGTTATTATAAATGAATTAAAGTATGAAGACAATACATTTTTTTTTAATTATTCTACAGTAGCTGAAGGTCAGTTTGCCCTGGCTGGAGGACCAGCTTAAACCAAAAAAGCTCCATTCACATTTTCTTTAAAAATCTACAGTAGCTATTTTTGCAACTTGGTTTGGTTCTGCTAGTGACACAGACATTAAACATTTAAGCATCTTATATTCAAGGTTAGGTTACATTCAGCTATTTGTACTTTAATAGCAAAGCATATTTACAATGATTTATTATGAGACACTGCACAAAGGACTTACTTTGTTTGCCACAGATCTGAAGGCATTCCTTTTCTGAATTAAACCGGTTACTGTTACCGTCACAACCCCCGTACCAGAAGGGTAAACATGTACCAACTGCTTCATTATAGTACCAGCGCTGCACAAATTCACCACAGATGGTGCCACGGTCGCTGTTCAGGTGACACGGATCTGAAAGCAAAACACTTATTTACTGCTAAGCCATGCAGAGGATCTTGTAAAGTAATCATTTATAAAGTGAAAAAAAAGGTGAAGTGAGGCGACCCATACTTGGAATTTGTGCGGACCTGAGACTCGAACCCGCAACCTTTGGGTTACAAGTCCGACTTCTTTAACCATTAGGCCACGAATTATATAAGCAATGTCTATATAAGATTGCTTTTGTTTAAAGTGAAATATAATTCACTAACACTAGAGACACGGTGATGTGAGCTGGGGTTTTTAAGAACGTACTGTCAGTGCGGTCAATAGGAGACTTGACTCCTGAGTTCTGCTGGTCCTCAGTCTCCTCCACTGCAGCGTCTTCTTCCTCCACTTCCTCTTCCACCGCTACATCTGGGTATGCAGTGGATGGCACAGGAACACTAGGAAATAGCATTTGTTTTGAGCATAATTTATAATAAATTAAATTGATTATAATTTATAATTAATTATAAATAAATTTAGATTTGAATGAAATAAATTACATTTACATTTAGTCATTTAGCAGACACTTTTATCCAAAGTGACTTACATACAAATGAGAACAGAAGCAATATAATATATGAATGTATTTATTAATTGCAGGTTTATTTTAATAACCTGCATCTTTGTAAATAAGTACCTGCTTTCTTTCTATGTAAATTACATTATAAATAAACATACATTACAAATAAACAAATCTATGTATAAAAAAAAAAAAAAAAAAAAAAAATAAAATATATATATATATATATATATATATATATATAATCTGAATG